AATAGAATAGAATAGAATAGAATAGAATAGAATAGAATAGAATAGAAAATAGGACAGAAAAGGAGCTGGAAGGGACTTTGGAGGTCTTCTAGTCCAGGCCCCTGCTCAAGTAGGAGTAGCTATACCATTTCAGATAAGTGACTGTCTAGTCTCTTCTTAAAAACATCCAGTGATGGAGTGCCCACAATTTCTGAAGGCAAGCTGTTCCACTAGTCAATTGTCCTCACTGTTAGGAAGTTTCTCTGTAATTCCAGCTTAATTTTCTCTTTGATTATTTCTAACCATTGTTTCTTTCCCTGCCCTCTGGTGCTTTGGAGAATAGGTGCTAGCTTATCTGAACATGATTTTTCTTTGAAGATGTTTCGCTTCTCATCCAAGAAGCATCTTGGATGAGAAATGCAATATCTTCAAAGAATAACCAAAAAGTCGAATTGCCTCTTGAAAAAGTAGCTTTTGGGGCACTGGTAGAGGCTGAACATTTTCACTCCAGCCTTTTGTTTCTCAGTTTTTCTAACAGTCTAGTTTACTAAGAAAATAATTTTATTTTGCAATAAATTTCTTGTATATTAAGTCATCTGACTGTGTATTTTTCAAAAAAAAAAAGTGGTAAATTTATTATTTGTCTATATTTATATTACACCACAGTATACTATTGACTATATTTCAACTTTAGTTAAGATTGCTATACACACAGAAACTGTCTTAGACACAGAGAGAATTGGGGAGATTTAAGTTAAAATCCTTTTCCTTTCATGCTGAATCCTGTATGTAAGGCTATGTTAATTGTCATATTACATGAAGTATTTTGTTTTCCTTTTCAGAGTGAAAATTTGACTGTGGAATAGCTTGAAGATTCTCACTCATGGAACTATTATGGTGATGCGGGCAGTTCACTTATTGTTGAAATGCCTAATGGCATCATTTAATTATTGAACAAAGGAATTTATCTTCCTGCTTTATAATACCTCATCAAAACTCTTTTGCATCTGCATACATCTACATATATGTGCAGATAGAACACACACACACACATTTCTGTACATGTGTATGTTTATGTGTGTGATTGAATTGTATCCAATATAAAGAAATGCTTGTTCATAATGTATTAATTTATGTTTGAAATACACCTGATCTACTGATGCTGGGGAATTAAATCAGTAGGTCTTACCACTGTATAGTGGTCAGCTAATAAGGATTTAAATTTGCTATAATTTTTGTATTAATTTTAAATTTAAATTTTAACAATGTATCTTTTTAAATGAAGTACACATTTGTATATTAAAGAAACACATTAATAAAAAATGATACCACAGATTTCTTTGTAAATTCTTAATTCTGTGAAGAAGGCCTCAAACTCTTTAATTTCAAATCAATACTTCTATTTTCATTTCATTTTATCTATTCAACTTTGAATCTGCCTGACTCTTAACTGACTGTAGTCCTTGAAGTCCTAATGAACCTACCTGGAGATACTTACAAACTTACAACGTTCTGATGGACACCCCTTATCTCCCGCAGTGACATGACCACACTTTGGGCACTCTGCAGTTAGGGTGCATTTACAGCTGTTTGCAATGCCTCATGGTTATGTGACCAGGTTTTACAACAGTTTTACTGAAAACCAGCATTTACTTCCAATTTTTTGCAAAATCATGTCCATAGCGAACCCTTGGTTCACTTAATCACCAAGAATTTGCTTGACAGTTGTCACATACAAGGTGGTAAAATAGGGTCAGTCATGTGGCCAACCCATTTTACAACTGTCATAAGTTACCATTATGGGCAGGCTGCATTACTGTCATACTTTGAGGACTACCTAAATGTAGTTTTGATACTTAATTGAATCCAAAAATAAGGGTTGCTTTTGCTACATTGTAAGAATTGGTGTGTTATTTATGAATATGTTCTATATACACTTTAAAATAATGTCCATAATTTATATCACTGTTTTATATGCTATTTAAAAACCAGGGTTTCTCACATCCATCTTTATTGTGTAAACTTTATCTGTATAATTACACATTTATTATTTCTTTTTAAAAAATGTTTAATTGTATCTGATTCACTGAACAAGTCCGTGAAATTTTCTCAGCAAGGTTTTTAGAAATGATTTTCCACTGCGACTGAAAGTGACTAGCCCAACCTAATCGAGCCGACTTTGTGCCTAATGTAGGACTAGAACTCATGGACCCGTAGTTTCTATCCTGATACCTTAATCACTACATCAAACTGGTCCTCAACCCATAATTTCCAAGTTGGTTATTAATGCTTTTACACCAATGACTTCTGAATACAGGTAGTCCTCGAATTATGACCACAATTGAGCTCAAAATTTATATTGCTAAATGAGACATTTGTTAAGTGAGTTTGCTCCATTTTATATTTCTTGCAGTTATTAAGTGAATCATTGCAGTTATTAAGATAGTACCATGGTTAAGTGAATCTGGCTTTCCCATTGACTTTGCTTATCAGAACCTGATCATATGACTCCCAGGACACTGCAACTAAATAGCCTAGCATCTGAATTTTGATGATATGACCATAGGAATGCTGCAACCATCATAAGTGTGAAAAACGGTCATAAGCCACTTTTTTTCAGTGCCATTGTAACTGAACGGTCGTTAAACAAACCATTGTAAGTTGATGACTCTCTCTTGGCAGTTTATAAAATAGAAACATACAACAGTCATACCTCACCTAAATCCAGCAACCCGGTTTCTCAACAGTTGAAAGATTTGCAAAGAATTTTCAAGACCTTCCAGAAGAAAAATTTCAAAACAGGAGCTTATACTGGGAAGTAACATTTATTTTATTTATTATTTATTTTATTTTATTTATTTATTTATTTTATATTGCTGCCTATTTGCCCATGGTGACTCGAGGTGGCTTACACAATGTAAAACCATATTTAAAACAAAAAATAAAAAATAATAACTAACAAAAAGAATCAAATTAATAAAGTACAATAGAACAAAATCTGGAAAAAATAAAAAAATAAAAAGTCACCCCCAAACTCCCACCCCCCACTCCAACGACAGCAGATCACACTAGCCATTTTATGGGCTGCATCCTGCTCTGGGTTCCCCAGGCCCGCTGGCAAAACCAGGTCTTCAGTGCCTTCCGAAAGAGTGCTAGAGTGGGGGCCTTTCTAATATCTGGGGGAATGATATTCCAAAGAGAGGGAGCCACCACAGAGGTCTTCTGGGTCCTACCAGGTGTATCTCCCTCAGGGATGGGACCTGCAACATTCCTTGCCTCCCCATGGTAGATGTGACCGGCAAGAGACGTTCCCTCATAACCTGGTCCCAAGCCATGAAGGGCTTTAAAGGTGACAACCAGCACCTTGAATTGCACCCGGAAGCAAATTGGCAACCAATGCAGCTCCTGCAGGAGAGGTGACACATGCATATTGGGGTCTGCACAAAACCATGCTGGCCGTTGCATTTTGAACCAACTGGAGCTTCTGGATGCTCTTCAAGGGAAGCCCTATGTAGAGTGCGTTGCAATAATCAAGACGGGAGGTGACTAGGGCATGAGTGACTCTGAGTAGGGACTGTTGGTCCAGGAAACAGTTGCGCAAAGGCCCTCCTGGCCACAACTGCCACCTGCTCTTCGAGCAGGAGTCGTGAGTCCAGGAAAACCCCTAGATTATGCACAGGGTCTCTGGGTAGTGCCACTCCATCCAAGAGCAAAGGTGACAATTTTCCCTGAGCCAACAAACCCCAAACCCAGAGCCACTCAGTCTTACATGGGTTTAGTTTCAACCCGTTGCTCCCCATCCAGCCCCTAACAGCCTCCAGGCACTGCAAAAGGGAAGACACAGCAACACTTAGCTCATCACAGGCTGAGACATACATCTGAGTATCATCAGCATATTGGTGATACTCCAGTCCATGGTGACAGATGATCTCACCCAGTGGCTTCATATAAATGTTGAACAGGAGCAGAGAGAGTACCGAGCCCTGTGGAACCCCGTAAAGCAGTGGGTGAGGGCTGGATCTCTCCCCTCCTATCAACACTGACTGAAAGGGGCCGCAGAGGAAGTAAGTGAACCAAGACAGCACAAGTCCTCCCACTTCCATCCCCCGAAGCTGCCCCAGGAGAATCCCATGGTCAATTGTATCAAAAGCCGCCAAGAGGTCAAGTAGGGCAAGGATGGATGCACTACCCCCATCCTGCTCCCACCAGAGATCATCCAAAAGTGTGACCAATGCCGTTTCTGTTCCAAATCCAGGCTTGAATCCTAACTGGTATGAGTCGAGATTATCTGTTTCATCCAGAAACCTCTGGAGCTGCTGCGCAACCACCTTCTCAACCACCTTCCCCCAAAAAGGAAGATTGGAGACAGGACAGAAATTATCCAACTGGGTGGAGTCCAGCGATGGCTTCTTAAGAAGAGGGCAGATCACAGCATCCTTAAAGTGCTGGGGCACCATCCCCTCTTGTAGAGAAACATTAATCACCACCAGAAGCCACCCACCTGTCACCTCCTGGGAAGCTTTCACAAACCAGGAGGGACATGCGTCTAAAACACAGGTGCTTGCATGCATACTTTCTAGGATCATGTCCACTTCCTCAAGAGCAACAGGGTCAAACCATTCCCAGATAACAGGGCAAGAACCTGCCTCACAAGTTTCCACTGGACCAGCAACCATGCCAGTATCTAACTGGGAATGAAGTTGAGCAATTTTGTCTTACAGAAAATCTGCAAATTCCTCAGCGCACCCCTTCAGGTGGACCTCAATCTCCTCCTTCCCTAGGAGGAGATGGCTGACCTTAAAGAGGGTCATGAATTATCTGCAGATGCAGTTAGTGTGGAGAAGTATTTACACTTCACCGCATGAATCGCCACAAAGTAGGCCTTAGTAGCAGCTCTTACCCGTGTTCGAGTTCATCTCCTGTCTTCTGCCAGCGGCGCTCTAGACATGTGTTTTATCCCTCTCAGTTCCTCTGCATACCATGGGGCACAGAGGTCTACGGGTGAGGAGAGGTCACAAGAGTACAATCCTATCCAGGGCCTCAGTCACCTTACTATTCCAAACAGTGACTAAGAGCTTGGCTGGACTGCATGATAGATCTGCAGTTATAACCCCCAGCTTCTTCTGGAACCCATCTGGGTCCATTAGTTGATGGGGGCGCATAATCTAATAGGTCCTGCTCCCTGCGGGGTGGGTGCAGCTTTTGAGAAACTCATTGCCACTCGACTGTGATTTGACCATGACAAGGGGACTAAGGACAGGTCCACCAATTCCAGGTCACATAGACACTGCTCTGACAAGAATACCAAATCGGGAATGTGACCACTATTACTAGTCGGGCTCTGGATAATCTGGGACAGGCTCCTGGAAGGTTTCCATGAAATCTCAGGCTACTTCCGCCCCCGCTTCCAGAGATTGAAATCTCCCAGAACTATAAGCAGGTTGAAATCTCCCAGAGCTATAAGCATGGGGAATTCCACTGGCAGCCCTGCGGTGAGGTCCAGGAGCCTGTCATGGGAAGCTGCCATGCAGCAGGGAGGCTGGTACAGCAGCAGCAATCCCACCTGATCCCTTGAGCCCAATCTAAGAAAAAGGGTCACTTGTTGAACAGTGCCTCTGGAGGCTACTAGAGATTCTCTGATAACAACAGCCACACCTCCCTCCTCCCCGGCCCCATGGACTGGGGCCATGCTCGATAACCCACTGGGTACATTTCTACAAGGGGAATGCCTCACTCTGGGCCCAGCCAGGTCTCAGTTATAGACAGATCATCCTTCTCTTCGAGGATCAAATCGGCAATAAGGCTAGCCTTATTACAGTCTGATCTGACATTTAAAAGCAGCAATCTATGACCAGGGCCACCACAGGTCTGCTGACCAGGAAAATGAGGTGAGTGCAATGAGGCAGAACACAAGATTGGTACTAAACACCGAGATCACGTTCCCTGTGCCTGCCCTCTCTCTCGTCTTCCATATCTTCTGTCACCTGACATCACTGAAATAAGACGCCCTCCTCTGCCTTTCCTGAGAACCATTCCATCCCCCATCCCAACACTCTTCTTTAAAAAGTGGGGAGGAAACCCTACTCCCACTGACAGACCGTTGGGGCAAGGTGAGACTTACAGGCACTATATCATTTGCTCTCAGTGCCCTCAAACTCACACCATCCCTTATTGCTGCAGAAGGGTCGCATCCAGTCCCCCTTATCTCCCAACAGACTCAGAATACATCCACTCGATGCATAAATGGCACCCTGCCCAATTGCTCTCACCCACCAAGCAGGGAGCCACTCCCTCCCAGCTCTCACCTAGGGGAAAGGGACCAACATACTCATTCAACTTTTCCCCACAACTTCAGGATTCCCCCAAACAACCTTCCCAGGCCCGACCAAAGAACACCCACAAAACTGAGAAGCAAGACTGCAAAAGGTAGCCAGAAAAAATAGTCAGAAAGGCCTTCTATGCTGCTTTGGAAATTTAGCAGCTTTGTAGTCCTACAATGTCACGTGAAGTTCACAGTTCCAAGCTCTCACTCGTCAGTTAACCTCAGGAAATCCCAAAGGTAGCCTGCCACTCTCCCCAGTGTTATTAACCATGAATAGGCCCAGCTGCCAACAAAGGCCTGAGAAGCTTGTCTCTTCTGTCAGCTCTGCCTCCATCAGATGACCCACACTATCAATTCAGATCTGCAGCTGCTGACTCTTGGGTTCTCAGACCAGACCTTACCTTCAGTCAGGGGAGTCCAGGGTGAGATCAGGGAAGCCGGCCACACAATCGGAAAATTGTCCACCTCCTCTGCTCTGTCTGTCCGTCTCACCTTCCAACTCTCACTTTACGACCATTCCACTCTACCAGCTCTTGGCCTATCAGTTTCTTCACCTCTGTTTCTTTAACAAATTCCAGCCTCACAGTTAGTTTATCAAGCTTGTCTCTTTCTTGCCTTTTCCTCTACACAGTCTTCCACTTCCATATACCAATCTTTACAATCCAAATTCTTCAAAAACCTCTATGCCCAATACTTCGGAGCACTATCTACAAACGCATGCAGCTGCTGTTGCCATCTTAAAAAATAAAAAAATATGCTCTTGCTTGTCTTGTTCTGGTCTCATTTAGCAGTGGAACTCTAAATTTAATTGCTTATTTGTTAAATTTATTTACTGCCTATCTTCCTGTGGGGCTACTCTATATGGTTTACAGTAATAAATAGGAAGAAAAATGAAAAGGTGTGTAAATAGAAATAAAATAGAACAATTAAGTGAATGACAATGGAACATAGGAATGACAAATGACAAACGAATATCCATCAAGTGGCTGAATATATTGAATGAATAATGTTTGTTTGGAATAGGAATCTCTTCAGCACTTCTTAGGTTATAACCAACTTGCATGGCTTTGCAATATTATTTTGGTGAAAATTTCCCTAAGTATTACATTTCTAATTGTTAAAATGGATAGTAAAACTATATGCCTTGAATTAACTTTTAAGAAAATTGGTACTTACAAGTTACACTTCAAGTTCAAATAAACTGCTTGTGTTAGTCCTCCATAGGAACTTCTCACAGTAAGTGTCTCCAGTCCAGGCATAAAATCTTTGTATGTTAATTGTAATCCAATTCTCAATTACAGTGATATCTCGGTACCCAACTGTAATTGGTTCTGGGAGGCACAATGAGTACTAAAAATGATGAGTACTAAAGAATTTTTCCCCATAAGAAATAATGTAATGAATCACAAGGCAATTGATAAAAGTCCTGGCTTGTGCATTGAGTACCAAACAATAAGGACTGGGACAAAGTTTTCACGTCAAAATGCACCAAGTAGTAAATACAATGAGTTTATACTAAGGTACCACTGTATTCAGTATTGATTTCCTCTCTATTGGCCTTTCAAGGAGATATACATACAGTAGATAGTTAAGTTTTGGGTGTCTACAAGCCCAGTTTATTAATATGATGAAATAGACCTTAGTAAAAATTAATTTCAGCAAGGCTTGATAAATGGATAAATTAGAAATGACAGTGTTGCAAGCTACTGAGCACCATATGTTCATCTGGGCTAACATTTCATTCTTGCTTACTGAACCATAGATGTAGAGCTTTGATACAATGAACCTGTATGGTGAAGACCAGCAATTTAGCTTAAGGCCAACAGGATGTATGATAGCAGAATTTAAAAGATGCTGTGCAAGATGCTTGTATATGTACAAGACAGTGGTGGGATTCAATTTTTTTTTTACTATTGGTTCTGTAGCCGTGGCTTGGTGGGCATGGCATGGGAAGGATACTATAAAATCTCCATTCCGTCCCCAATCCAGGGGAAGGATACTGTAAATCCCCATTGTCTCCCCACCTCACTAACCTGCTTTCCATGCACGTTCTCTTGCTGCAGGGCAACAAAAGAAGACCCAGCCGATCAGCTGGAACTTGGGAGGCAGAGAATAGATGGGGGAGGGGCCAGTCAGAGGTGGTATTCCAAACTACTCAAAATTTATGCTACCTGTTCTCTGAAGTACTCAAAATTTCCGCTACCGGTTCTCCAGAAGTGGTCAGAATCTGCTGAATACCACCTTTGGTACAAGAGCATATATAAAAATTGAACTTATGGAGTTGATCATAGATTTATTTAAAATGACACAACACTGAAAAAACATAATCGTTACAGATGTCTTTTTGATACACAATACATATTTTGGGGGGGTTGTTGAATATATGTGGATAAATGCATACTGTGCAAATATATTGTCTTAATTCATATTCACTTAATTCAGAAATGTATTTATTCATCCAGCCATTTTAAAAATACAAAATCTACCACTATAGTTTGCTTATCAGAATAGTTTAATCCTTATCTATAGTAGATAGATAATGCAGAGGTAAACGAGCCATGCCTTCACTTGTGTTTCAACTGTTTTGAAAATGTGTTTGGTAGCTTTTTTATAATGCTTGAAATGATAATTTTGCATTACAAATGCATATTTTTACTACTCAATATTTTGGTAATGGTGCAGCTAGTTTCCTTTTGTAACAATTTTCTACTGATAAGAGCAAATGTCTGAATGAACAATTCTACATGAAAGAATGACTATTAAGTACGTAAGATATTTGCTAATGCATAAAATCAGTTGATAGTCAACCTTCAAAGATGATAGTGATTCTAATGCATATTATCGTCCCTCTGTAATAACTCCCTATTAGTTTCCTAAGCTTAACAATTTACATATGTTCTCCATTTTCTCCTGGTTTCATGTCAAATGTTTGCTATTTATGTCACCAATTACTTGTGCTGCAGGTTAGTTTCCTGGGATTTTTATGTGCTGTGTATGCATACAACACATAGTTATCTCTCTATATGTACATACATATGGAAGAAAATGGCATGGAAAAATTTTATGGCAGATTTCCCCCCCCCCCCCAAAACACATTGAAAATAGAATACTTTTATTTCAGTACTACATGATTACTAATGAAGTCTTCTGCAGTGCAGCAATTCAATTCAATACAGTTAGTGCAGAAAAGTTAAGGTTTGGTATTGAGGAGCCTACTCATTTGCATGGGGAAAGGTCAAGTTACAGGATCACCATAGCTCTGACAAAGTACAAACAAACCTATTGCCATATATATGTGAACAAATAAGAACTTTTTTTCCACATACTGTTTCAAAATATGCTAGCTTTTAATTTCTTGCAATCATGCTCATTTGATATGCTTCAGCTGAATTTTGTCTGAAGTGATGGCTCAACTGTGGACTCCTGTATGTTGGAGATGTTTAAACTATAAGAGGGTGTTGCTCTGGGGCTGGGAATTACTCGAAACGGCAGGTGAAGTTTTCAGGGAACAGTCCCTTGTATGTGGATGCATCTTTGTATTGAAGCCAATCACGATCCTTAATGCCTGTTAACCAACCTGCTTCCTAAAAGGAAAAGAAAACTTTAATTTTCTAATTATATTTTCATAAGAACTGGTCATATATACTGTCTATGCATGTACAAATTATCTCTAGCAACCTTTTTAAAAAGAGCAAAGGTTAGCAATGCTCTTCCATCTATATTATGTGAAAAAAATAAGCTTTTACAATATGGCCTGTAGCAATTTTAACATATGATATTTCGCTTTTTCACTACAAAGGCCTTCTAAAATATTTTACTCCTATGAATAAAAAATATTCCAGTGAGCATTTAAGTTTTCAGTAAAAAGCAAATGTATTTAAAAACTTAATATAAGAAAAGCCCCTCTGCTGTTACCTGATCTGCTTCTCCTGCTGATGGGATTACCAATACAATATCGCCTCGTTGCAATGTCAGTTCATCACTGTTGGCTGCCTCAAAATCATGCAGAGCTTCAACCTAAGAACAGAAATAAGTGCCTATGGACTAATTATATATAGATATTTTACTTCATCTAATGTTACAAGACACAATATACTGTAGTAGCTTGGCTAAGTAAAATATTTTTTTTGTTTTTGTTTTTCTTTTTTTGCTATTCAAACAAATAATGTTCCATAGATTGAAAACATTCTAAGCAACTAAGGCTGTTGATATGTCTCCATCTAGGTCCTTTTGGCAACATGATCTATACATCTTCATGTATGAGAAAACTTGAAAAACAAGGTTTATATCAACATGAGCCACGGTGGTGCAGTGGTTAGAGTGCAATAGTGCAGGCTACTTCTGTTGAGTGCCTGCTGACTGCAATTTGGCAGTTCAAATCTCACCAGGCTCAAGGTTGACTCAGCCTTCCATCCTTCCAAGGTGGGCAAAATGAGGACCCAGATTGTTGGGGGCAATATGCTGACTTTGTAAACTGCTTAGAGATGGCTGTAAAGCACTGTAAAGTGATATATAAGTCTAAGTGCTATTGCTATTTTGTGGCCACATTTTAAGGCTATGCAAGTGTTTCTCAACCTTGTCAAGTTCAAGGTGGGTGGCCTTTAATTCCTAGAATTCCTCAGCTCATGCTGGTTGGAGAGTTCTGAAAATTGAAATCCACCCATCTTAAAGTTGCTAAGTTTGAGAGATATTGGTTATACTACAATAATAAGCTAATTATAACTTATTGAGCATGCTACTGAAAATTGCAAAATTTGAAGACAGAAAAAGTTTACTTATAATTGCACGTTGATCAACAACATTTTTAGTGCTGAAAGGAAGGGACGAGAAGCCTCAATGGTGGGGAGCAAGATGCAAAGAAACAAAAGTCTTTTAGAGATAATGGGTAAAATTTATTGAAAAGGGGATTCTGGAAAGGTACACAAGATTGTAGTTTTACATTTGTACTTAGAAATAATCATAGAAAATTGGAAACAATATGCAATTTAAAATGTGATAAAATATTTAGTATAATTTAGTGAAATTTTTGTCAAGAAAGGGGGAATGAAGAAAGGGGGAATGACTTTAATGAAACAATGATTTAAGATATGTGATGTGGGGGGGAAAAATAATTATGGAAAGCATAAGTGTTCCCATAAAGGCATGATATTTAACTGAAATGGGTAAAATGTTTAAGATATAAATGATTGTTAATATTAATGATTAGACTATGTTATCAGTGAAATTTTTTGTGAAATGAGAGATTTGGAGTAGGAGAAGGGGGAACATTCTAATGAAATAATGATTTAAAATATGTGATGTGGGGGGGGGAATAACTATGGAAAGTAGGTGCTCCCATAAAAGTATGTGATTTAATTGAAAAGTAATGTGCTAAGTGTTTAAGATATAAATGAATATTAATATTAATGAACAGATTTGTAATTGATATTGATAATATTGTATAATTTTAGAATGTACCAAACAGAATCCCAATGTAAGCTATGTATTCTATATTAAGTATTATAAATGTAGGGGAAAGAGATAAAGGCGTCATACTCCAATTAATGTACAGGATAAGTTTTCTTTAAAGAAGAAAGATAAATGGATAGCTAGAAATAGAACAGACAAAGAATAATAAATATTATGATTCGAATTGAGATGAGACAAATAAAATAAAATTAAGAAAATTTAAAAGAGAGGAGAAGCTATATAGAAAATTGAAAATGCTAATAAGATATGGAATGGTATATAAAATGAATATGAATTTGAATTTGTGTCTGTACAAAGAGTTTTAACCCGGGACTAAGCAACTTTCAGAAAAGAGGTTTTTTATGTTACTATGTTTTGTGTTATGTTTTGTATGTCTTTAAAAATTAATAAAATTTGTTCAAAAAAAAAAACATTTTTAGTGCTACACTTGAAAGCTGCATTATGCCATTTGTATACATTCTTGGACTTCATCTACATTCTATGCTATAACACAACACATACACCCTCCCAAAATAAATCCTGAAATAAACCTTATAGAGGAATCCAGGAGGCATATCATCTGTTGCTGCAGGCTGTTTCTCAGAAGATGCAGGCTTTTCTTCTACAATATTTGGTGGTTCACTTATATCATCTGAAGATTCAACAGTGGGTACTTCAGTTTTCTGATTAGCAACTTCTTCCACAGAATCTTTAGATTCAGTAACTTGTATTTCATGGTCGTCTCCATCTTCATTATTTGAGGCAGGCTCTATAACTACTGAAGGGATGTTACTAAGGTTGTCCTTAGAATAAGAAGAAAGGAAGGTGAAGGGAGGAGGAAAGCAATATTTTGAACAAAAATATCAATTACTGATGCTTAAAAATATTCTGAACTTTTAGAGCAACCACTCAAATCCAAATACCTAGAATTTTTTAAAAATATGGATATAATGGGCTTTTCCTAGGTGATCCTACCCCTCACTTACCTTTCAAAAATCCCCAGAACATGGTTTAGAGAAGGAAGGCTGCTTCATTCCTGGGCTTCATGGCATGATCTCAGAAGCAGCCTGTTGAGCCCGAAATTGACATGTGTTGCCATTTTATTTAGCCCTATATTCTAATCATTTTTTCCTTTTCTTTCTTTTTCTTTGCTGTCAATGGGGGGAGGGTTTCAGGCTCACCACATTCCTAAGGTGGGAGGAGTGGTTAGATAGTGAGGATTGATTTGGCTAGGTGACTTTCCTTCCCACGGGAACAGAAACTGTCCCTGCTGAGACCTGGAGGTGGAGATTGATGACACCAGGCAAGGTTGATTTATTGCTATTGAGGAATGTGACTTTTGGGGGTGTTTCTAATTTTCAACATTATGTGCTGTAATTCTGGTTTGTGTCAGATCCAGAATACAAGAAAATTTGCCAATTTGATGCTTGGTGGCACATTGGTTAGAGTGCAGTACTGCAAGCTACTTCTGCTGCAGCCAGCTGCCTGCAATTTGGCAGATCGAATGTCACCAGGCTCAAGGTTGACTCAGCCTTCCATCCTTCTGATGTGGGTAAAATGAGGACCCAAATTGTTGGGGGCAATATGCTGACTCTGTAAAACCACTTAGAGTGGGCTGTAAAGCATTATAAAGTGTTATATAAGTCTAAATGCTATTGCTATTGCTATTACCTAAATAAAAGATATTTATTTTGGAAAATGGACTTTGCTCATTTCTTTTTAAATGGATTTCATCACTTGGAAACCTGACATTATTCTGGATCCCCACAACCTAATCCCGAACAAGGATTGCTTTTCAGAATCCTGAGCCCTGGCTGTTTACCCGGAGCATTGGGCAACAGCAAAGACTCAGGGAAGATGGCAGAAGGATGGAACCCAGGGGTACCGGAATGCGAATGCAAACTTGGGGGGGGGGCTGTGTGAAGTTGCCAGCCAGCCCCCCCAACGGATCCCCAGGAGACAATCCGAGTGACTGCAATCATGGAGATATCACACACCAGATGGGAGCTCGCCCGAAATCTCCAGTTGAATGGTCTGCAAGCGCTGGTATTCAATGGATGGAGAGAGACCTGATTGGCCAATCAACCCTTCCTGACCCACTCATCAATCACCCATTAACTGTGGCCAGAGAGTCTTGAGCCATGATCTTGTGGAGAGCAGCAACTGGACCCATGGCAGATCACAATGAGACGGATGAATGGCAGTACCAAACGGCAATGTGTAACCAGACCTTTGAGGACCTACCTGACCAGATGGAGCAGCTTGTCATCGGACATGAAGGCAGAAGCCCACAAGTGAGGCAAATGACCACCCGGAGAGATAGAGCAACATGTGCTTCCAGCCTGTCAACTTTCGGTCTAACCCAGTTGGGAGATTTATCTCCTCCCAAAAGAGGGTGATCTACTGCTGCTGGAGATCTACCACCATTGCATCGTTCATTCCCGAGAGTAGAACAGAGAGGAGTGAGAAGAAGGGGGAGTCCACAAAGAATCCATGGAGGAACGAGTTCCCCCCCTCCTTGTCTGCCTCTGGCTGATCAGATCCCTCCAGGATGGGCATTTTACCCAGGCAGAGGATGGGTTCAAGACCAAGCTCAAATTATACCAGCCCTACTGCAATCCCACTTCTGCTGCTGTAGCCAGCTCCACGCACAAACACCTCAACACCTTTTAAAACCATGTTTGATGGAACCTCAAGCAAACTTGTGTTTTTCCTGAATAGTCTTACATCAACAGGCATGGAGATGAATTCCATGATGATGCCCAACTCATCCAATTCCTAGGGGACAATCTGGAGGAGGAGGCATCCAAATGGTTCACCCAGATCAATGATGAAGGTGCTCCTGAATTAAACATCGTGGAAGACTTCCTGAGAGAGCTCCAGGTGCATTTGAGAATTTTTCCTCAAGAGGCTGAAGCAGAACTCAAAAGCATTAGGCAGAAGTAGAGACCCACCAAGGAACTTGTATTTGAGTTCAGACACCTGGCCACTAGTCTCAGACACTGGTAGGAGAGAATACTGGTGCACTATTTCCAAGAAAGCCTGGATGAGGAGTTATTAAAAATCTGCCTTTGCCATAGGTTGCCCAAGGACAGAATCTATGAGTGGTATTGAATTGCCATAGCAAAGGATAACATGCTCAGACAGTACAGAAGAAGCAACATTGAGAAACAATCCAGAAGACAATTCACACAATGCTCAGTACCAGCCACAGCAAAAGACATCAAACAGCAGCTGCCCTGACTTCTATAAAGTGCTTCTGTGTGGCCAGCAAGGGCACCACGCTTCAGAGTGCTTAGCGCTGGCCCCATTACCGCAAATGAGAGCACCCACTCCCCCTAAAGGGAAAAAAGCACCAAGAAAACCATCGGACAAAAGCAAATTTATGTGCCAAGCCATTGAGGTCCCTATCCCCAGCAACCCACAGGAGCGGGAACTCTGGCAGCAGGATTATCCACTATTCAGGATGCAGATAGCGAAGAAGAGGGCCCGATGGTAAGACTTTCTGACCCTTTAAAATTGAAGGGACATTGACTGTTACTGCACAGGCATAGAAGAACCCATAGACATTATTATTGACACCACCAGTTTGCGATGCCTTATTAGTCCTGAGTGTGTGAATAGCCTAAGCATAGAGACTCAAGCATTAACTAACCCCATTTGATTCCAATAACTGGATGGATACATGATAGGGGGAAGTCTGGCCATGCACATCACTGAAAAAGTAAAACTAACTATAGGGAAGCATTGGGAGTGAATCTGGTTCATAGTAGTGCCAAAAATGACTCAGTCAGTAATCCTGGGTCTCACCTGGCTAGACAAATGGCACCCAATTATAAGCTGGGAGGGCGAATGTAGGAGAATTAAATTAGCACTCGGTCCCAAGCTACCTCTTGAACAAGACAACAACCAAATTGACAACTCAGGATTACGGGAGAGCCATGAAGATCCAACAGTGGCATTGGCTGAGCAACCCCCAGGGATCCCTCAAATCTCAATCCAATACCGTGACCTAGCTGAGGTTTTCAGTGAGGAGGAATTCAATGTGCTACCACCACTCCATCGCTACACTGACTGCACCACAGAGTTTATAGAAGGGGTGAAATTACCAAAACCAAAGATGTACTCCAAGACACCTAAAGAAATGAGACTACATAGACTCAAACCTAGCCAGAGGTTCCATACAACTTGCAAAGTCTAGAATGGCAGCCCCCATGCTATTTAAAGAAAAAAAGATGGGGGGGGTTATATTATGCATGGATTTTAAAGGAATCAACGCTGTGTATATTCACAACACTTATCCCCTACTGCTCATGAAAGACATGTTAGGACACTTCGCAAAAGAGCAAGTGTTTACTAAATTATATCTCCGTGAAGCGTATTACCAAATCCTCATCAGAGAAGGAGATGAGTGGAGGACTGCTTTCAACTGCTCCTTAGGCAGCTTTCAATTCAGAGTAATGCCATTTGGATTGCAAGGAGCCCCAGGAGTTTTCATGCAGTTGATAAATGAAGTACTACATGAACATTTGTATAAAGGGGTCCTTGTTTAATTTGATGACATTCTTATTTACAACAAAACTTTAAAAGAACACATCAAGTTAGTGAGAAAAGTATTAAAAAAAACTGTTGGAGGCAAAGCTATATGTGATATTGTCTAAGTGCAAATTCCATAAAGAGTCACTAGGTTATCTTGGCTACTGCATTTCAAATCGGGATAGAAATGGATCCAGCAAAAGTGAAAGCAGTACTAGACTGGCACCCCCCCAAAACCCAGAAAAAGCTGCAAAGCTTCCTGGGATTTGCGAACTTTTACCAGCAATTTATCCCCTCATTTGCTGAGATCACACTACCAGTGACAGAGCTATTAAAAACAAGGGGGGGGGGGGCAACCAAGCCAAAACCTGGTTAACCTCTGAAATGGACTCTAGAATGCCAAAAAGCCCAATTTGAATTGTTAAAAAGGCATTTTGCACAGGAACCCATTTTAAGACACCCTGAGCCAGAACTGCCTTTTGTAGTGCAAGCTGATGCTAGTGACATAGCAGTGGCAGCTGTACTCCTCCAATAAAAATGAGAAATGAGACCTGCAACTATGTGCATATATGCCCCAAAAACTCACAAATACTGAAAGAAGGTGGGCTGTATGGGAGAAGTTAGGCTCTACTAACATGGATACAGTTTTTAGAAGGAAGCAACAATCCTTTCAAGGTGTGGACAGACCACAAAAATTTAGAAGCTCTAAAAACACCAGGAAACTCTCTCCTAAACAAGTCAGATAGGCACAATATTTCAAAAGAGTCAATTTCCAATTGAAGTACCTTCCCCTGGGTGGGGGGGAATCTACTAGCAGATGTGCCATCTAGGAAACCCCAATTTGACAGCAAGTGGGAAGAAGTAATTCACACAATTATTCCACTTTTCCCCTAGGAGACAGTTCAAGTGATTACTCGGGCACAAGCCCAAAGCCAAAAGATGAAAGACAAATCAGAAATGACAGAAAGTTACAAAATGAATTAAGTGCAGATTCTTGGTATCAGGAAAATAAGGGTCTATTAATTATAAGGAATAGTGTAGCATGGAAGTGGTTGAAGTTACATGTCCCCAAAACTTTACACCTTCATGTACTTCAGAAAAGCCATAACTCAAAGCAAGCAAGACATTTTGGTTATTTAAAAACCCCACATTTGGCCAGATGTCAGTTTTGAAGCATGACATTGAGGACTATGTAAAGAGTTGTGCCACTTGTGCTATGATAAAACCAGACCAGGAAAACCTCCAGGACTTTTGCAACCTGTGTCAG